GGGGGGCTTCTCATACTCATAGGGTTCATGGGGTCTCAAGGGTTTGCAGGGTTTGCGGGGTTTGTAGGGTTAACATGGAGTTTATGGGGCTGACAAGGTTTTTGCAGGGTTTGTTGGGGTTTAGGGCCTGAAAGGGTTCACAGGTTCTTAGCTTCGGGCTCACAGGGTTCTTCGGATGTCGGGTCTAAGGGGTAAAACCTACTAGGGTTTACAGGGTTTAGGTTTAAGTTCGAGGTGCTTTTATCCCTTGTGCAGTTGTCAGGTTCGGTGGGCTGAAGATCTCAGCCTGGCCCAGAGAGGCGCCTAGGGGGCTTTCAAATCCACAGGCCCCCGGCAAGACGAAGCCCTGAACCTTGAACCCCTAAACTTTGAGGATGAAAATCCGACCCCTCTATAAGAACCCTAAACCTTTAAACCTGAAACCCTGAACCCTACAAGTAAGCCCTAAGCCCTTGCACGGGGTGAATTGTCGCGCAGAAAGGGAATCCTGAGGACTCAAGCCCCTCCGAAGCCGTATCAATCCCGATGAGATCTCCGAAACTAGGGCCCTGAAGTCTTAAGCCCTTCGATGGGCTAAGGCAGGGTCCTGCGTAGAGAGGCTAGAAAACCCCAGGCCCCCCAAAGCCCTGGCTCCAAGTCCTGAATCCTATAGGCACGGAACCCGAAACCCTAAGCCCCATCCACGAAACCCCTAAACCCTAAACCCTAACCCCTAAGCCCCTAAGCCCCTAAGCCCCTAAGCCCCTAAACCCTAAACCCTAAACCCTAAACCCTAAACCCTGAACCCTGAACCCTAAACCCTAAACCCTAAACCCTAAACCCTAAACCCTAAACCCTAAACCCTAAACCCTAAACAGACAGGGTCCTGGATGCCCTGCTGGCCACAGGTGAGGAAAAGGATGCTCTCCGTGGCGAAGTGCTGGTGCAGCTGCGACCTCTATGAATGCGACCTCTATGAAGGTTTAGGGTTTAGGGTTTCGGGCTAGGGTTTAGGGTTTAGGGTTTAGGGTTTCGGCTTTAGGGTTTAGGGTTTAGGGTTTCGGGTTTCGGGTTAGGGTTTAGGGTTTAGGTTTAGGGTTTGGGTTTGGGGTTTAGGGCGGGGAAAAAAGGCCCGTATATTCCATTGCTGACGGCCTTTGTTGGGATGTGGGCCCTTGCATGTAAGCGAATCATGCGTGGCTGGCAAAGTCTTGGGCCTTCAGGTATGCCCTTTCACAAAGCCTTTGAACCCCGTAGCCCATGAATCCGAACCCCCAAACCCAAACCCTCGACGAGTCCTTAAGAAGGATGATAGTACACACCCCCCCCCCCACCTATTAGAATCCCGATTAAGGACTATTGGCAGACGATTAGTATAAGGGAGCATCCCAAGTAACACTCCTAAAGGTCTAAGGCGCCGAGAGCCCAAACCCGATAAAACCTCAGGCCCTTATGACTCTAAGCCCTATACCCTAAACCTAAACCCGAAACCCTAAACCCTTAACCCTAAACCCTAAACCCTAAACCCTAAACCCTGAACCCTTCAAAGTAAAAAAACCAAAAACCGCCGAGGCCCGCGCGCCACAGCCTGCAAGTGCAGGGGTGGCTCAGTCCCAAGCGTTTGGAAAGCAAGACCAGGAATCTTCAGGGTTTGGGGTTTAGGGTTTGGGGTTTGGGGGCTTCGTGTTTGGGTTTAGGGTTTGGGGTTTAGGGTTTGGGGTTGAACCTAAACGCTCAACTTGTCACTCAACCCTCACCTCGGGCTCTACAAAAAACGTTCATGAATAAGCATAGCTACTTTTTCAGTCCCAAACCCTACCCCACTTGCAACAAAAAAGACAGCAGAAACAAATAAGTAAACCAATCACATATTAGCAAACAAACCAAAAACCACGACACCTGACAATTGCATGTATAGAAAGAAAGAAAGAAATAAAGAACGAACGAACGAAAGAAAGAAATACAGAACGAAAGAAAGGTAGAAAGGTAGAAGATGGAAAGATCGAAATATGGAAAGATAGAAAGATAGAAAGAAAGAAAGACAAAACGACAGAAAGAAAAAATAAAGAAATACATAAATAAAAAAGAACATAAAGAAAGACAGACATAAAGAAAGAAGTACAGAAGGAAAGACAAACGGACAGACATTACACAACATCACCACAGCACCTTGACCAGTTCCTCGGACTCCGCGTTGACGAAGGCCGTCCCTCCCAGGATTCCCACCCTCAGCCTTGCGCAAGGGGGGTGTCGGGCACTATTTGTGGGAGGGTTTAGGGGGTTTAGGGTTTAGGGTTTAGGGTTTACGGTTTAGGGTTTAGTGTTTAGGGTTTGGGGTTTGGGGTTTAGGGTATCCTTCTTATGAGTATAGGGGCGGGGGGGGGCGAGGTGTTAGTGACTTGTTTCGTTTTTTTGTTGCATGCCTAGGGGCTTAGGGGCTTTGGTTCATGCTCGGGGGTCTAAAGGCGTTCGGACTTTGAGGGTTTAGGGTTGAGGGTCTAGGGTTTAGGGTTTAGGGCTTCGGCTTCAAAAAGCGATGCCCTGAACCCTGAACCCCTTGCAAACCCCAGGGCTTGACCCCAACATGTAGGGGGGTGTAAAGGGTGTAGGGCTTTAAGGCTCGGGCTGTAAGACTTACAGGGTTTAGGGTTTAGGGTTTAGGGGTTTAGGGGTTTAGGGGTTTAGGGGTTTAGGGGTTTAGGGGTTTAGGGTTTATTAAGGGCAAGGGCTCGAGAGTTCAAGGGCTCCAGGGCATCAGGTTTCAGGGGCTTAGCCTTCAAAACCGAAGACCTCAGGGCCTAAGGGCTTGGGGCTGCAGTGGATACTTCAAGGCTTCTACGTTTTCAGGGTAGAAGGCTTAAAGGTTTAGGGTTAAGGCTTAAACACAAATCTTCCTAAACCCTAAACCCTAAACCCCAAACCCCAAACCCTAAACTCTAAACCCTTAACCATGAACCCTAAACCCCAAGCTCTAAACTCTAAACCCTTAACCCTGAACCCCAAGCCCTAAACCCCAAGCCCTAAGCCCCAAACCCTAAACCCTCAGCCTAAACCCTACAAAATGAAAAACAAAATAAAAAAACACCTAAAAACCCTAAACCCGGATCCTCTGACAGAAGCGCAGGGGGCGCGGGCCTCGCGGAGAGCCTGGCGCGGAGGTCGCCGCCCGGCGGCCGTGCTGGGATGGCGTTAGGCCATTGAAGCTTCTCTTAGGGCTTTAGAAGGGTTTAAGGGGGTTTAGGGTTTAGGGTTTAGGGTTTAGGGTTTAGGGTTTAGGGTTTAGGGTTTAGGGATTAGGCTTCAAGGACTCCTATCTTAAGGCTTTTGGGCCCAAAGGCCTTATCTCTTCGGGCTTTAGAAGGGTTTGTACGGGTTTAGGGTTGCGGGGTGAGGGTTTGTTAGGGTTAAGACAGTATAGGGGTTAGGGGCTCATAGGGGTTTAGGGTTCATCGGGTTTCGGCTTTATAGGGTTTAGAGTCTGAGCTCTTGGGGCTACAAGGGGTATGTGAGGGTTTATAAGGGGCTTAGGGGTGTTGTTGTTGGGGTTGTTGGGGTTCTTGGGGTTCTTGGCGTTGTTGGGGTTGTTGGGGTTGGTGGGGTTGTTAGGGTTGTTTGGGGTTGTTGCTTCATTAGGGTTTATAGTGGTTTTGGGGGATTTCGCGGTTTCGGTTTGTAGGGTTGAGGGCTCTGAGGATTTGAGGGTTTAGGCTTTCGGGTTTCAGGGCTTTAAGGAAGCGAAAGTGTAGGGGGGGGCTGCTCAGGGGAGTGGAGGGGGGGGGATTGGGGTCTTTATGGTTTCAGGGGCTTGCGGGCTTCGGCGAAAAGATTTTGGGGGGCGAACGGGCAGACGATTCCAGAGGTGCCCTTCCCAACCCCCATGAGCTTTGCGCCTTCCGCTGGCATGGCGTGGGCCGCGACTAACCCTAAACCCTAAACCCTAAAACCCTAAAACCCTAAAACCCTAAACCCTATAAACCCTAAAACCCTAAACCCTAAACCCTAAAGTTTCCGAAGGGACGGACCCCTCGAGGGCCCTAAAGAGCCGAGTCGTGGTTCTGTTGGTTGAGGGGTTCTAGAATCGCCATGGTTTAGGGTTTAGGGTTTAGGGTTTAGGGTTTAGGGTCTTGGAGCTCTAAGAGTCTAAGCCTACAGGCAACCCCCTACCGTCCCCACAGTTAAGGCAACATGCTCCGATGTTGGAATTGCTGGCTTGGGGCGGGCTCAGTGTGCGATTCGTATGCTTGTAGACTGCGCCGTCGCCTGTTTGGGGCCTGGACTTTGTTCCTTACTCGAAACCCTAAACCCCAAAAAGGGAACTGTAGCAGAGCTGCTTGGGAGCAGGGGGAACCCTAAACCCTAAACCCTAAACCCTAAACCCTAAACCCTAAACCCTAAACCCAAACCCCCACGTCCCCAGAGAAAGTTCTGTCTGAGTCTCGCAGCTGCGGTGCCGGCTCATGCTTACAGGGTGTTTGGGGGCCTTCCATTCGAGGGACAGAGGGTTTAGGGTTTAGGGTTTAGGGTTTAGGGTTAGGGTTTAGGGATTGGGGTTTCGGTTTGGGGGCCAAGGGCTTAAGGGCCTAAGGTTTAGGGTTTCGGCCTGTTCTTGGAAGCCCATTTTAACTTTGGTGAAGGTATTGCCGATGCTTAGAGCTTGTAAGGTCAACAGCTTTTTGGATCCAAAGCGTTTGGACCTAAGAGCTCATTTAGGGCCGGGTTTAGGGTTTAGGGTTCAGGGTTGAGGGTTTAGGGTTTGGGAGGTTTCCAAGCTTCATACCAATCTACTAATCTCAATCTGGGCCTGACATGCTCAAAGCGGCCGTCCAAGGGGGGGAGACTGAGTTGACTAGGCCCCTTTACTCCGAAAACACGAAGGCGCCAGACCCGTGCCTTTTGTGAACCCTCCCCTCGAAAAGACCTCCAAAACCCAAACACTTTCAGCAACCCTCAGCCCTCAAACCCTCAAGACCCTCAAGCCCCTAAATCCCAAATCCTAAACCCCGAACCCTTGAGGCAGCGACAGCTGCAGCGAGCAAACGATGAGCTTTGCGCCGTCCTGGGGCACAAGAGAGGACTTCGAAAATCCCTACTCCTTGTATTTAGGGTGTTTAGGGTTCAGGGCTTGGGGTTTAGGGTCCCCCCAAAGATTGAGGTGGAGGGCCCCGCTAGCTCTCTGCCCAAAGCCATGGGCAGCGCTTGTGATTTGATTTGGGACGTTCAAGTTGCAGGAATAGCCAGTAAAGCCAGCTACTTGTAGGAGCCTTTGGGGCCTCTGCGCCAACCCTAAACCCTGAGCCCTATAGTCATCCCCCCCCCCGCCCCTGCCACCAAGATGCCATGGGGTACATCGGAAAGAAGACGTTGAACATGAACAACATGACCTGGCAGCTGCATCGAAAGACCCGGGAGTGCGCATCTCTCTTGAGGGGTAAATTGAACATACAAATTCCGAGTTTAGGCAGGCTAGGGCCGGCTAGGGCTTACAAGGAGGATTCAGATTCTAGGGTTAGGGTTTAAGTTTATAGGGTAGAGGATCAGATAAGTGACCCCGCACCATGAGATGTTAAGCTCGGCACATTCAGCTGGATGGCCTGTGCCAAGAAAGAGTACCTCGCAACTGCTTGGTCTGGCAGGTTGGGGGGGAGGGGCCACGAACATTTGTAAGGTGTAGGGTACAAAAGGGTTTATACCCCCAAACCACTCACATGTACCCCTGCGAGCATGTCTCAGTGCGCCCTACAGATCACACCTGAAAACCGCGGGCCATGAGTTCAAGATACGTAAAGGATCGTGAAGACTTTGCTATAGGGTTTAGGGTTTGGGGTGTGTGTATGTGTGTGTGTGTGTGTGTGTCAAGGATTTAGGGTTTGAGTTGTTCATCAACCCACAAGGCTGCACCCCGAAACATATCACTTAACTTCGCTTTAAATCTTCGGCAGATGGAAATATATACTGCGCTGGTCCGCATGACGAGTACACCACACGCCCCCTTCCCCCCGCTTGGGTCACGCCAGCCAGCCGCTGTACGTCTGAAAGCACCTGACCAACTGGGCTGCTAACACTGCCCAATGAAGCATGAGGCCGGGTGCATCCGCCTAATTCTGCATCTTAGCTTCTAGCGGTCTTGCGATACGTCTGCAGCACAGCGTGTACGCAGCCGGGCACCAAGCAAAAAATCTGTAAGTGTGCTAGCTGATTGCCCCTTAAATCCCGAGCAATACACAGGATCCTTCGAGCGCATTGCCGAGGGCAGCACGGCGAGCACATTTTTCGTTGCCGCGTGCTCTCCTCGCCTACTCGCCGGCTCGGGGGCGCAGCGGCCAGAGCATCTAACTCAGAGGAGCCATCAAACGCAGAGGTGTGCAAAGCCAGCTCTGGATGGCGAGTTCATCATCTTCCAGCAAGGAGATGCCCCAGCCCGGTTGTGGAACATGTGCAGTTCTTGCCCAGCAGGCCGGTGGTTATCAGACCAAGAGCCAGCGGCCAACTAGAAAATGATGTGCCAGACTACGTGACCTCCGTGCAGGTGATCTCTGGCCTGGGCCTCAACGACTCGAAGAAGGTTGCCCGACCAACGCGCCCGCGCTCCAGCAGCAGCCTCGATACCTGTTCCACTTCCTGCTGAGCAGAGTTCTGTCACAGATTGCCTACACCCTAAACCCTAAACCCTAAACCCCAAGCCAAACCCTAAACCCTAAGCACAGTGTGACAAGTCCATCAGAGACGTCTTTCATCTCACATCTGACCACTGCCGAAGTCGGAGGTGGCAAGCAGAGGTGGGCCTGGCCTGGGCGTGGCATGTCAGAGCAAGTTCCTTGGGACCCAAAGGAACCCTAGAATTGGGGGCCATATATACCCAGCACTACTATAATATTATTAAGGTAGAGGAACCATAAACTCTTTTAGGGTTCATATATACCCTGTACTACTAGAATCCCCATGAAGGTATATGAACAATAAACTCTTTTAGGGTTCATTTGGTCCCAATGCTCATGCTAATGGTGTGGCTGCTGAAGAAACACCTGGAAACCTTTTCATCCGAATGTATCTTGATTCTTATCTTGCAAACTACCCACAAACTCCAATTCCAAACAAGTGGGTCGTTCGGCCCGACACTGACAACCCTACAGTCGGGATTGAGACAACCCTTTCTCACGGTGCGTCTGAGAGAAAGCCAGACATCAAGAAAGGGATTTGAGAGCTCCCTAGCCTAAACCCGAAACCCTAAGCCTCAAACCCTAAACCCCAAATCCTAAACCCTCCACCAAAAGATTGCTGCGTGAGCTCCCAAGTAGGGCCCGGCGACACACCCTACCTGCAGTTCCTGGAAGTTCTGGCGTCAGCCATCTTGGCCAAAAAGCACCTGGAAGGGAATTTCGCGCTAAACGGTGTGACTATATGATGTTCTGAACTTCTGACCCAGGGAGATCGCCAGCTTTAACTGGAACTTCTGCTTTTTCTTGACGAAGGGAATGGTTGCCTCTTTGACGCGAGAGAACTTTGAAGCAGTTTTAGTGTCTAGGGTTCAAATCAACCCCTGTGGATCCGGAAAACCCTAAGCCCTCTAAACTGTACATTCCCTCAACCCTGTAAACCTTTTAACACGCCCAAAATCCGACCTTCATGTACTTCTACTCCCCCCAGAGACCCTCAACCTGATACTCCCGTACCCTCAGCTCCAAAACCCTAAAAATCCCAACCCTAAACCCTAAGACCCCATAAATGCCCCAAATCCTAAACCCGAAGCCCTAAACCCTAACAAACCCAGAAGCAAGACCTTCATGTGGGCCACCGCCGCCGACCGGGTCCCTGAGTCTGAGTCTGACTGATGGATCTGGTAGCGGAAGGCTTGACCTGGGCGCGCAGCGAAGGGTTTGGAGCTTAGGGTTTAGGGTTTGAAGCTTTCGGGTAGGGAGCTTGGGGTTTAGAGCTTAGGGCTTAGGGTTTATGATTTTCAAGTTTGAGGGTTCGCCCTTCGGCGTTCCCCAGAGGACACGAGATTGAAAAAAATCGATCGCGAAGCACTTTTTCGATATTTTTCAAACATGTCCGAAAAATCAAGCGCCGAGATGCAAAATCGATAGCAACCAGGATCCTCAAAATCGATAGCAAAAGGTCATCAAAATCAATAGCAACGTGTTGTTCAAAATCAATAGCAAAATCATGCAAAATCGATAGAAATTTTTGTCAAAATCGATAGAAATTTTTCTCAAAATCGATAGCAAAATTTAGTCAAAATCGATAGATGTGTTAAAAGGATTTTGCACTTATAAGTGATCATATATGATGAGGCTACCCCTCTATAATCTATTAATATATATTTATATATACATATACGAAGACACTGTCTTTGTATTCTACATACCCTGCACATGGTCGCCGTTCATGCAACCCTGCCTATGACGTTAAACTTTGGGACTGTCCAGCCAAAGAGGGTCTAAAGGTGGCTTATGTTTAGGGTTCCTTAAGGGCTTTCCAGCCCCCTACTGTGTGTATGCCTTAAGAGCGGGCTTTTTGCTTTGCACACAGCTTGGGGTCACGTAGTCGTCCAGCACCAGGAGTCGCTTGAAAAGCAACTGCCAAAACGTCCTGTACTTGAACATAACTGTCCATGGGATTTTGTGGGCAGACATGCCAGCGAGACATGCATTGGCCAGGTGAGACATGAAACCCATGAAGCTCTCCGAGCCATAAGTCCAGTAATGCCTGGGGGCCAAGTGCTTGGCCATGCTCGGCATGTGTGCAGTCATGTGGTGCTTGGACACAATGCTCCATCTGCACAGCTTGGCCACAAAAGCCCGCTTGGCCAGAAAGCTGTAGTGCTTGAGGAAGGTCTGCACGGAGGCGGCGAAGTTCTTGCTCACTTCCCTACTGAAGCAGGCTTTAAAGTGACAGTTCAACCTGAGTGCCACTGAGACATTGCATACATGGTTGTAAAAACTTAAATACAAGTATCTTCTGGTTGCCTGAGAACAAGTATCTTCTGACCACCTGAAGCCTGGCTGGTCCAGTATGTCGTAGACCTCCTTGAGAGACTCCACAACACGAAGCCTGTGCAAACTTGCCCGATCATCTCGAGAACCTGAGGACATGATGGGGTTTTTGAAGCTTTGAAGGCCGTTGGATGTTTATGAAAGCAGGTTTGAAACTATACAAAGCCAGGCTGAGACACTGTATCGCCTGGCCAGTTCCAAGCACACAGGCATGAAGTGCCTGATTCGTCGCCCTTTCTGGTGCTTGAGACAAGGGTACTCGTTAGCACTGCCAGCTATGTCAGACTTCCACTTGAGGTTCGGGAGCCTGGAGCTTGCAGGTGTGCCGAATTCCTGGTAAAGCTCCTGGATTTCGGCATTGAGGGCACTCATGTTCGTGTCCCTGGAGCCTGCCCTGGCTTCCAACAGCTCCCAGAGCACCTTAGTTGTCCAGTACCTATGGGGTTTCAAGGTTAACCTTTGGGATTACAAGGGGAATATATTAACCCAAAAAGGTTAAAGGTTATCTACTCTACTACGAAGGCACATTGCCCACCACATGGCAGGAAACACCAAGGTCCAGCACATGCAGGCAGTCGAGTGACAAGGCCATGGCATTGCAGCCACTGACCTTGAACAACGGGTGGTCTAACCTGGCACTAAGTTGGCCTGGAGTCAGTGAGGTGGCCTTCCATGCTGCGTCATCCCGGAAATCATTCCACGAAGCTGGGCCTTCCTGTGTGCAGGCACACCAGCAGCAAGGATTCGGGGTGTTTGGCCTGGGCAAGCCAAACTCCTGGTAGAAGAACTCCAGGTCGCCTGTGACGGCATAAACGACTCCTGGTCTGAATCGTCTGCCTGCGGTAGGGCACTTGCCTGTCGCAAGTGCCTGGAGCGAACTGGTGAGTCGTTTCCAAAGATCCTTCATGAGCTGCTCGGTGATGCAGGACTTCGGGATGCATGCCAGGAGCAGCTGAGAGCTGGCCTTGGTTGTTCCAGAGTTAATTCAAGGATCGAAACCAACTTTTCATTAAATCAATGGGGGCTTAGATAGGGCTATAGCCAGCCCAGTCACCACTGACAGCCTGGAAGTCATTGCTCGGAGGGAAATGACAAGCAAGCTGTCGACATTGGAGTGGGGAGCTGCATCCCCATGCAAAGCAAAGGGCACCAAGCCTGGCGTCTTCTGCAAGGCCTGCTTGAAGTACTTGGCACTCTGAGCAACCCTTGGGTTACTGGCAGGCTGGCTGTCCCAGAAAGTGGAGATGTCGTTGACACCCAGCACATCCTCCTCAATTGCACTAGAGTCCAAACTGAGCATCCACTCGTGGGGAAGTAGAAGCGGCAGCTTGGTGTCGACGAACACTGTCTGGCCAGTTTTATCTTTGCCCCAAGCTTTCGTCTCTACCACTGCTGGCTCTGGGGCAACCATGTCGGTGAAGACCCTGGACATCAGCTGCTTCTGCACATGGTTTGGGTTCACACCAAAACCTCCCAAGCTGGCTAAGCCCACCAGGTCGGCCTGGTCACAGCCCGACTTGGTAGCAGCATGGGCCAGCACTTGGAGGCAGCTGGCACTGATGTCCCCCAAACACCAGAGCCTGAGCAAGGCAACAGCCAGTGGCGATTCTGGACGAATAGAAGGTCCGTGATCTGGCTCGAGTTTCCTCTTGGGCATGGCTTGGAAAACCAAACACTGAAAGCTTGGAAAACCAAACACTGAAAGCCTGTGTGCTGCGACGGGCTGGCAATCACAAAAACGGCTGTCTAGCCAGCGACCCCACATGACTGTCCTGAAACTGCATACAATGCATGGCTGTCCAGCCAAGTTTTTTTGCTGTTTTTGGGGCGCTTGACTGGCTTCTATGGCCCTGGAGATTGCCTTGGCTGCTCGGCCCTACCTGAGGCTGTTTCGGGTTGCAGGTGTTTCTGTAACAAAACTGTGGGGCCTCACAGCCTGGAAAGCTTGGCAATCTTGAAGCCTGGACAGGCAAGCTACATCAAAGTGACTTCGCCACGTCAGCCGTGGCCTGAAATGCGGAGCACTGTTTCTAGCATTGAAGACTGCCTTGGCTGCTCAGGACCGGCCTATATAGGTTGGGAGTTCGGGTTCCAGGTGAAAGAAGCAAAACCCTGGATCCTCACAGCCTGGGGAAAACTTGGCAGTCTTCACAGCCTGGAAAGCCTAGCTACTTCGAATTGCCTTCGTCACCTCAGCCTTCATCTTCTTGGCATCTTGGAGCACCCGCACAGCCTCGAGGAGCAGGGGTTTCAGCTTCTCAGCAGATCCTCCCTTGGCCTTGGAGAGGCTGCTCCGGCACTTCTCCATGATCTGGGCATGCTTGGCCAGGCTCTTCACATGGCTGGAGTTGCTGGTCTGCTTCTTCAGGCCCTCCAGCACACCGTACTCCTTGGCCAGCTCGGTGAGGAAAAGCTTCACCTGAAGGCAACAGGCTGGCACTTCTTAGCTATGTAGCTTGTAAAGATGGCATCTGCTGCAATATTTCTTCTATTTGGATTCAGGGCTTAGGTTTGAGGCCTTAGGGTTTCAGGTTTTAGGGGGTATTGAGGGATTTGAAGGATTTAGGCCAAAACGGGGGGGTGGTATCGACAAGTGCCCGCCTTGTCCTCCACCTGCTGTGTCGTTGTCTCAGCAGTCACGTGGCTGGCGGTCTCCCACTTGGTGGGCTTGGGCTGCTTGGTGGGCTTGGGCTGCTTCTTCTGGGTCTCTCCACTGCTACCTTGGGCCTTGCCCTGGCCATCCTGCTTGTCCAAGCCCACAGAGGCCAAGAGGTCGTTGCGCTCATTGTCGTTGTCGTCGTCCTCTGCCTCGTGGAGGGCGAAGTCCTCCAGCATGGGGACGTCCTGCCTGGAGTCCAGAGCCAAGAACTCATTGAGGTCGGCTGAGTTTTCGGCCTTCACCAGGGAGGAGGTCCTGCGGGAGGTGGTTGTCTGGTCCTTTTCCTCCGTGAGCTTGAACTGAAAGAACCGGGAGTCCTCTGGGTTCCGGCGGTGCTGGACGGTCTGGCTCTGGACCCTCAGTTTCAACTCCCGTTCTCCTATCTTGTCAACCGTTTCTTTGTGGCTGAGCCAGCGGTTTTCCAAGCTCTTGTCTTGCCTGGACTCGAACCCCACCGTCGCTTGGCGATAGAACTTGGACGGCTTTCCACCGTCTTTGATCCATCCTTTCAACAAGGATCGCTTTCTGGTCAGCTGGCCCGACCCTTGGGTGGCCTGAAGGAAGCTGTCCTGGACCTTGTGCTCCTTTCTGGACTGCTCGAATCTTTTCCACAAAGCTTGCTTGGCTGAGTCGGACAGCTTCTTGAAGTTCTCGTCGAACTCCTTATCTCCGAGCTCCCGGGCTTCCTGGACGAAGCGGTTGTGGTCCTGGAGGGCAGCTTCGGGCTTGTTGTCACACCCTCCTCTTCCACATGGGGCTTCCTGGTGGTCCTCCGCCGACTGCTGGTCCTCCACCGGCTGGGCGTCCTCCTCCTTGAAAGGCACCATGGCCAAGCAAGCTGCTGGCTTCAAGCAAGCAGCTGGCTTCAAGCAAGCTGCTGGCTTCTTGAAAGAAGGTTTCTTCAGCACTGCCTTGGCCATGCCAGCGAGCTTGGTCGTATTCGTCGTCTTGCTCTGGCTGGGTGCCATGGCTGTCGCGTCGTTCGAAGCAGGGGAGGCCCTAAGTCTTTGTGTTTTGCAAGGCCAAAAGCTTCGTGCATCAGTTTGCTTGGGACACATATTTTGTGGCAGGGTTTGAGGTTTCTAGTGTTTAGGATCATGGTGCTTTGGGGTTTTTGCTCTTTTGCTCAGCGGGGGCTGGCCAGCCCGGGCGAACCCACCCCAAACCCCAATAGCCCACAGCCCAGAAACAGCAGAAACCTT